GAATTAAATGTGGAGGCCCTATTCCTTCTGAAACATAAAATCTCGAATAATAAGACCCGTTTGGCTTCCTGAGCAATAGATGTCATAAAAGCAATAAGCCAAGGTTTAGCCATCTTTGCATTTGAACCCCAACTCTGCATCTACCATTTCTGTATCTACAGTCAGGTAACTTCTGAAGAAACTGCTTGTTTTCCTCTCATTAAAATGGCAATAGTAAAGACACCAATATCACAGTGTCTTGAATATAGGTAAGACCTCTATCAGCGCAAACATAAGACCACAAAATGTCTTGTGAGGGGTCCCATTCTCTTCCCAATAACCTGCTTTACTTAGATTCTGACAATAGTCCCCAAAGAAGGGCTCAAAACCACTTTAACTCCTGTCACTAGCATCAAAATAATTGCATAACAACCAAAGGTACAACTTCGAAAACAGTGCTTACTTCAATGTTTAAGCTCTGATTTATCTAGTATAAATCCTATGAGGATCACTTCATTCTGGAGGACAAATTCACAACTCCTGCAGCAGCAACAGCTACCATATGTTGTAGGCTTATGTTGTATACAGCTCAGGTAAGCATCTTATCTATATTAATGAACTACCCTCATTCATTTACTAATTCATTTATTTCTCCCTAGAACCTGGTGAGAAATGTGTTATGTATTTTTATTTTGCAGCCAAGGAGGGAAAGACACAGACATTAAGAAAATTTCTCAGAAGAAAAACCTGTGAATGTAAGTGTTGGGATTTTTATACAAACCAGTAGATGCTAATAGACTAGGTTAAGGAAAGAAATATTATTTTGTTTATTTTACTTGTAAGTCCTCACAGCAATGGGTGAATGTTGGCTTTGGATCAAGGAGACAGAATCTGTAAGTGTGGCATACTCAAAGGCAGTAGACCTCAATGGAGTAAGTCTAGAGAAGGATACAAGGTACACTGGTTTGCATGTGAAATGCCCCTCCTAGGCTCATAGTTTTGAACATCTGGTTCCAAGCTGGTAGGAGTATTTGGCAAACAATGGAAACTTTAGGAAGTATATCTTGTATGGAAGAGGAGAGTCTCAAGGGGTAGGCTTTAAGAAGTTTGTATCCTGGCTTGACTTAGTGTCTGCTTTCTGCTTCCTGTTCTCCCCATATTTACAGAGTCCCAAAGCATAGTCCAGCTACCATGATGAACTGGAGCCTCTTATACCATTAGCCTTAGCAACTGCTACATACTTTAAGTTGCTTTTTGTAGATACTCTGTCACATCAGTGAGAAAAGTGGTAAATGCAATAGCCATGCTATACTTCTAAGAAGAGTACTACATCTACCTGATATGATCATACACTGAGCTGTTGTTTATAATTAAAAATATTTTTCCCAGCTGTGAAAATATCCTTGGTTTTTTTTTGTTTGTTTGTTTGTTTTTTTTGTTTTTTTTTTTTTAACCTGGTCCCACCGCCTGGATGCCTCCCAAACAGATCAAGCCAATCAACTGTCTCACTTATCCAGAGGGCCTGATCCAGTTGGGGGCTCCTCAGCCATTGGTTCATAGTTCATGTGTTTCCATTCGTTTGGCTATTTGTCCCTGTGCTTCATCCAACCTTGGTCTCAACCACTCTCACCCATACAAACCCTCCTCTTTCTCGCCAACTGGACTCCTGGAGCTCCACCTGGGGCCCAGTCGTGGATCCCTGCATCCAGTTCCCTCAGTCATTGGATGGGGTTTCTATCACAACAATTAGGGTGTTTGGCCATCCTATCACCAGAGTAGGTCAGATCGGGCTGTTTCTCAACCATTGCCAGCAGTCTATTGTGGGGGTATCTTTGTGGATTTCTGTGGGCCTCTCTAGCACTTTGCTTCTTCCTATTCTCATGTGGTCTTCATTTATCATGGTCTTTTATTCCTTGTTCTCCCTCTCTGTTCTTGGGTGGTGGCGGCGGCGGCGGAGGCGCACGCCTTTAATCCCAGCACTCGGGAGGCAGAGCCAGGCAGATCACTGTGAGTTTGAGGCCAGCCTGGTCTACAGAGAATATTCTTGTTTTCAAAGGATCTTCTGACCCAGAAAGGACCCTACCATTGAAATTTAAATTCCATGTGATACATCTCACTTTAAGGAATCTCACTGAAGCCAAGTCATCTAAGAATAAAGGGCAGATTGGGAGCAGGCATGATCACTCTGCACAAGTGACTTTCAGTTATCTGTTTAAGTTCTAGTAAATTCAGGCAATAAAAACATGACTTCTTGACAATAGCTAGATGAAATGAGATGAGAGAAGGGAGGCTGCTGTGTAAGGATAAATGCTCTATGCTGTGGTGATATATTGTGTCCTGCTGCAGAATGTCATTCTGTATGCTGCAAATGTGTGTTGCTCTGATTGGTTGATAAATAAAATCCTGATTGGCCAGTAACCAGACAGGAAGTATAGGCAGGGCAAGCAGATGAGAGAATTCTGGGAAGGCTGAGTCTGGAGTCACCAGCCAGACACAGAGGAAGCAAGATGTCAAGGCAGAACTGAGAAAAGGCACCAAGCCACGTGACTAAACATAAGTAAGAATTATGGGTTAATTTAAATGTAAGAGCTAGTCAGTAATAAGCCCGAGCTAATAGCCAAGCAGTTATAATTAATATGAACCTCTGAGTAATTATTTTATAAGTGGCTGAGGGACCACATGGCTGGGCAGGACACAGGAAAACTCCCAGCTACAGTGTCCCCCCAATATATTGTACACCCTACTAAAGCTTATCTGAGGATCAGAGGGAAAACCAGCCACTATAGTAAACATAGAAGGCAGGCAATGGTAGCACATGCCTTTAATCCTAGTATTTGGGAGACAGAGATCGATCCAGATCTCTGTGAGTTCAAGGCCACACTGGGGAACAGAGACACGCATGGTGACACACGCCTTTAATCCCAGCACTAACCACAGAGGTCTGGAGGTCTGTACAGACAGACAGGAAATAATGTAGCTGGGCAGAAAGGAGATGTGAGATGAAGAACAGAAAGGCATATAGGCATGGGTATACAGGAAGTAGGTCTCTTTGGCTGAGGATTTCCAAGGGATAAGAGCATGGCTGGCTTCTTTTTGCTTTTCTGATCTCTCAATTTTACCCCAATATCTGGCTCCAGGTTTTTTATTGATATGACCATTTAGCAATTCATCTTACACTCTGCATTTCAGCATATGTTGTTATCCTGAGCCACAGAGCTCCAAATACGATTCTGCCATTGGCCCATCTCCTTTCTTGACTATGGGATGATGCTTGAGCCATTAGTTGTTTCTTCTAACCCATGATAATCACTATCAATTATGAAATGAAACCTCAGCTTCTGACTGAACACATAGGAAGCACTCATCTAGCTGAGACCAGAGGGATATTCACATATTCTCAGAACCGGGAAGGTCTTTTACTCTAAGAACAACATTCAAAAACATATTACAACTCTTTATTGAATGTTTACTGTAGAGTTGGCACTGGGATTTTAAAAGTAAGGGAAGTTTAAAGCTCCTATATTCACAGCACTTACATTCTACTGGGGAAAGACCAATGGTAACAAAACATTCAAAAGCACATTCACTTCATACAGTGAATACTAACAAGACAAAAGCATGGTGGTGTTTTAGAGAGCACCCGGGTATATAGATGAGACAAGGTGTCTTCGGCATTTCTAAAAAGCTAACAATTTTGAAGAAACAAGAGAGATTAAAAGGTGTTAGTACTGCTGAAACATGGAAAACCATTGTATTCTCTAGTCCTTCTCCTAGGAATGAGCCTGAATTAATTACTGGAGTTGGTAGTGTGGCTATAATACAGCTAATAAATGAAGAACAATTACAAAAAAATAGATAGAAAAGGATGCCAGGCCAAAGGGCCTTCAAAAAGGCAGTACCTTAAAGGAGAGAGAATCTATTAAGGTATCTTAAGTACAAGAGTAATAAGACTTGATCTGGAATTTTAAAAAAAAAACAAAACTGTACCTGGTCTAGTAACTAGGACTGCAGATACCCACCCAGGACTTCAGGGTGACAGTGTGGTGAGTGAAGGCAGAGTTAGTAGACTTGGCAGGATAATAACTGCTCTAAGGATACACACAAGTGCTTTCAAGGACAGGGTGTTTTGGAGGGAGAACCTGAAAGGGCTCCTTGATGGCCTAGATCTGAGCATAGGGAAAAGAGATGTTAATCTCACTTTCATTTCAGCTATGGTCTGGATGGCTCTGTGCTTGGTTCAAATTAGAGAAATACTTTCCAGTAAGAAGGATTCTTCAGTCACACTAATCATGCCACCTCTCTTAGAAAACCAGATGTATATTGTGTAGATTAGATAGACATATTGCTCAAAGGAGAATGAAGCTGGGCTGGAGGCAAAATTTCATATTTGGGAGTCATCAGTTGTAAGGGAGATTAGATATCAGAATTCTAGATACCATTACACTTTTTCATTGTTATCAGAAGAAGAATTGTAGTCTAAAATGGAAAGATTGCCAACACAAAGAATTGACCAACCTTTGTTAAGATGGAAATGTTAATTGCCTTGATTTGATCATTTCACAGTGTTATATGCACACAAATTATTATGCTGTGTCTCATAAAAATACATAAATATTATACAGGAGTTAAAAATGAAAATAAGAGGAAATGATGACCGAGTACCTATACATAGAAGTACAATTTGAGAAAATATGTATAAAAATGATTCCTAGGCAAGTAGCTCTTTAAGGCTCATCAGTATCCAGCACCTCTCCTCCAGAACTATCAAATATAGCTACTCACTCACTGGAGATGAGGAGATAAAGGAAAGGCCCATAGGAAATTTTAATCATACAGCATTGGTACTTCCTATCATTGTGCCTCATTCTCACTTTCAAGTGATGTAGAATTCCTGTCTGGTCCAGAAACTAAGACCATAGATGTACCTCCCACATCTGGGTCAAAGTAACTCCGTCTTCATCCTCACCCACAAGCAGATAAATATCTGGTTTGAACTGCAGACGAAATTTCAAAGGACTCACCATTCAAAGTCCCAGTCAGCACAGACACAGGGTTCTGATACCACCGACCCAGAGTAGTCTCTACCAAGGGCACACTGAGCGCCTGGCTTGCGTTTCTTGAATATTTTCCTTTCCCCCATGACACAAGGCTCTCCCTTAAAGAGGAAGTCCATAGTGAGACAGGCAATAAAACACACAGGAGGTAAAATAAGACAGTTGGTCAACAAAAACACTGGTCTTTAGTATTCAATGTAATGATCTCATTTCTCATGCATAATTTTCAAGGGCAAACATGTTAATCTTTTACCACCACATGAAAGGACCACTATGTATGGCTGGCCTGGGTTCACCCCTCTACCCATCCTATCCACGATGTCTATATAATACAGTTTCTTCTCCATCTCTGTGGAGAACACAAGGACTTCAGACTATAGACCAGCATGCAAGTGGCTTTAGCAGCTAAAGTAATGAGAAAACAACTTCTGTCATACTGTTTTTATTGTTTATATTATTTTCACAGTAAAACTGAGGTTGACTCCCATAAGTGCAATCTCCAATCTCGCTCCCTCTTCTCCCTCCCTCTCTCTCTCTCTCTCTCTCTCTCTCTCTCTCTCTCTCTCTCTCTCTCTCTCTCTCTCTCTGTCTCCTTGGTTCCCCTTCTCTCTTATAAATGATTACACTAAAGTCCTAAATCTTAGACAAAGGCAAAAAAAGGAAAACTTGGTACAAAATCCAAGGACCCAAGGGTTAGGAAGATGGTAAGAATATAGAAACCCACCTATATTGCATGGCAATAAACATCTGGCATTACTGGACCCATGCACCCTGCATCCCTTTTCAGTATCTCTTTTCCGGGTGTTTTAGGGCTCTTACTACAAGCTGTCCTGAGATATGTTCTCACCTTCCATAATGGCAGGGCAGATGAGCATATCATAAGAGGCCTCCTGACTGCCTGGTACTCACTTCTTAGCCATTTGAGCTGATATCCTAAGTTATTTTCATATATTCTCCTCCAGGAAGTTCAGGGATATAATGAGTATATAGAATCATGGGATGTGTGTCATTTACCCTGTTGGTCCTGTGTATGTCCAATTTTTTTCCTTATAGCCACACACTTACATGCTCAAATGACATACTGCCTTCCTTTCCCCAAAAATAAAAGATGAGTGAAGACCAAACCCAGCTGGCAGTAGTTCCTGTTCCTAGAGGCCAGCACATCCCAATGTTGTGGTACCTGATTGAGCAGGTGCCATGTCTCAAAGTCCTCCTTGGTGCACCGCCGGCTGAAGACAGACTTGTAGTCCACTTTCACCAACTGCCATTCGGAGCGCAGGCTGAAGTGGCCAAAAACTCTGAGTGTAAAACACAAGAAGTCCAGCATCAGTCAGTAATGCACCAGAATAGAGACGGGGAGATCAGGACAGCCTGGACTTCTTTGATCCCTCCAACATGATTTCCTTAAAAGAGTAATCTCCCTCTTCAGAAGCCGGGGTCTTTGCATCTTCAGCCAACTGGTTGTCATTCACATTAAGTTTAATATCACTCATTTTTATTGCAAAATTACTAAATATGATTTATAGGAAGCATTAAAATAATTTACAATCCAAATGAAACCATTCTTTACATTTTGGCACATAGCTTTTACATTTCTTCTTAATGTCAGGAATAGTAGGTTGTCTACCTATATCCAGTACTAGAAATAGTTTCCTCATCTATAAAACAAATTGTGTATGAGTATATGTGTTTGTGTGTGTGCATACTTACACACATTGGGAGTAATGAAATGTATTACCTAACCTAAAGTATGACCCTACTGATGCCAAAATCCTGTGACCATCTCTGTGCCTTTTCATTGAAATTCCCACTGCATGACTCATATTAATGCTTATTCTCTTTCTGCCTTCCTTGAAAAACAGCATTCCAATAAAAGAAAGTCATATTTATGTACAGTAATGAAGAATGCCATCTGCATGGTCCAGATAATCAATACTGACCTTTGTAAAGCCCAGTTGTTGACAGGCCTATAAATATGAATGATCAATCATTCTAGAAAAAAATGAAAGAAAAAAAATGCTGACTATCAATTTTTCACTGGGGTGGCATGTCATGGGATTACAGTGCAAGACATCTATCACTGTAATGGAGAGGTGAGACCAGTCATGCTGGGAGCTCTTTCGAAGAACTAGACTGTCCATTTCAGCAAGCCTCAATCACATGACCAGCCTAGCATTCTCCGCTGCCCTGGTTTAGATATTCTTACGCTGATAACCAAAGGCCTTCTCACTGAGATCTTTCCTTCAACTCTCTGGAAGATGATAATGCTTACAAGAGGGGGTGAGGACTAAAATAAATTGTAAAATGTGGAAAAAATAAGATTGGTTTTGTAGCTCATCTAACTTAAATCTTGGGAAACAGCTTTGAATGTAGTATCAGATAAAAAATAAACAAAAGTTTTATAAACTTATCTAAAGGAAGATTTAAACAGATGTTGAGGGAGAAATTGAGGGCTACACTTTATCAAGATTGCACGGTCTTTTTAAAACCTCAGTTTGGCATAGACTAGAAGCTTTGAGAATAGAATATTCCAATATATAGCTGATATTTTTCCTGAATTTTCTATGTCTTTTTCTTTTTTATTCTTGCTAAATACATTCATTTCCAAACCCAATACAGAGATGTCATGTCATCTATTAAGGTATTTCCACTATTTAGTTCTAAACTTATTCAGAAGGTGCAAGGTGGCTCACTTATTATTTTTTTAATATATTTTGTTTTTTGTTTCTTGAGCAGAGTCTCATGTACCCCAGATTTACCTCAATCTATGTAGCCAGGGATGACCTTGAACTCCCAATCCTTCTTGGGATTATAGGAATGTGCCACCATGTCAGCTCCCTTAAAATTTTATCGAAACAGCTAGCTATTATGATAAGGTTCTACTTGCTTGGCAATAATAGAGTTAAATTAATAGGTGGATCAGTAAAAATAAGACACTGAAGATGACCTTGACAAACATCTCTTTCCTTCTCTACTCAGATATCAAAATCTTCCCACATTCAAACACTATTTTCTGTATTAAGTCTTCCTAGGTTATATCAAGCTGAGTATCACAATGCCAGTGATATTAAAGCAAATATTTCTCCCTACTCTAAACAGTTATTTCATGGCTCACAACATGCATCATGTCAGATTAATCCTACTCATTTCTATAAGAAGATTACTAGGCAGAGAGAAGAAAATACAAGGTACATGATATACTTGGATGTCAACAAGGCAGGTGACAAGAGTCTGCACAGCAGTTTTGAAGAAAAAAATTAAAATGTGAGCCAGCTGCTAGTAAAATGATGTGTTTGAACGGCACCTAATTAAAGTATTGAAATCAACCAGAAGGGAGGTAGAGGTAGTCAGTTTGCCACATTCTGTTGTCTGCTTTTCCTTGTTTACCATTCTTACTAAATGGCTTAAAGACATGAAAATAATGCTTATCAACAGAAATCTAACTTTCCAATGACACACAGCTAAAAATAACAGTCAATACACTTCATGGTAGAATCAGGACCCAGTAGGTTCTGACAGTCTCAGACAGGTAGAATTTAATAAGATAAGATGTAATAGGAAGAAACATCAACTTCTCTTTCTGGTACTGGCTTAAGGATTGGATAACAGAAATGAGCTTTGTATACCTAAGGATAGACAATAATAACAGTAGTTGAAGTGTTTCTCTAGGTAATGTGGCCAATGTAATTGAATAATTCAACATGATCAATGATAATTTAAATGATTGTGAAATAAATTAACAAGATTGTATGTATTACCTAGAACAGAAGAGGTGATAGCCCATGTTAGTCTACATTAACCAGATCACAAAGAAAAATCATGGTCACTGTTAGTTGTTGCCATTTAAAAAGGACCTAGATTATGTGGTATGAATCAACTTCAGCTCATATATAGGCTGCTGTATTAGAAGATATTGAATAATCTAAATTTTAATCAAAAACATGTATTTATTAGAACATGTAAGTTTATCTCTATACAAATGATGTATTTTATCAGACCATCCAAAGATGTATCTAGTTGCCAAAGTTTAAGCACTATTGAAAAAGACTGAGTTGAGTGGTTGGTGGTTTTTAATAAGGTATGAATGAATATGTCCTCATCCTTGAAGCTTTAATGTAACCTCATTTGGAAAAAGTAGCATGAAGATTTAAGCAAAAGATAATAAAATGAGAGCATCTTGGATTAGTGCGATGTCTCTAAAAGTGGTAAGAAGTATTCTGTAACAGATAATGAAGATGAACAGGTAGTGAAAAGGCCATATGAAGACAGAAGTATAAATTGGAGATATACAGCCATAAGCTAAGAAATGGCTAGAGCCATCATAAAGGGGAGCTGGGATGAATACTGTCAATGTATAGGATATATTTGTATGAAAATGCCTTTATGAATCTTACACTATTCATAACACACACCAGAAGATTTTGTGTTTTTAAAAAATGAAGAAGACATAAATAGCAAGTTCTCCTGATAATCCTTTGATTTTGGAAATTGGCTTCCAGAATTATAAGATAATAAATGCCATTTAAGCCATCTAGTTTATGGTTTTGTTAAAGCAGCGCTAGGACACTAATGTTGATGACAACAGGATTCATTTCATCTTTGTGCTGAAAATGGTGTAAACCCAGATATATCTTGGGAAAAGAGAAAAGAAATAGGTTGGCAGTCTTTGCAGCTCACAAGTAGGAATGCTTGTAAGGGTGAGATAACTTTCTAACAAATAGCAATGATCAGGGGGCAACGGGTGCAGTAGTTAGTGAGCATGCAACTGCAAGCCTAGGCTTTATCATTTAGCAGGGTTGATACCGAACAGAATGTGCTATTGATCCATGCATACAACCTAAGTGAAGCTGAGCCTTGAAGTGCTTATTTTACTGACTGAACACAGGCATCAAATCAGTTCAATTTTATAGACTGGTTCAGGTGGTTTTCATGAAACATTAACAGGTACATTTTTTTCATCTATGTTTGTTCAACTTCTTGCTTCACACTGTGTTTCCCAGGTCTTTCTCCAAACTGATCAACCATATTCTTGAATGCATGCTATTATCCTTTCCCATAAGGTTACCTCCAAGTGCCAAAATTATAGTTATTTTACACTGTTAGGATGATGAGCTTTGTTCATCTTGGTGGGTCTCAGCTAAGACCAGCAAGGTGAGTCCCTTAGTAATATTTGGATATTACCATATTCCTTATCCTTCAATCTGTTCTAGAAGACAATAGTTCATTGTCTTGCCTTATCTCTACACAATGATGCACTAGTGACTGTTCTGGTTACCTTTTTGTTACTGTGATAAAACAATCTAACCAAAAATAACCCAGGGAGGAATGGGTATATTGGCTTACTAATCCAGGTTGCAATCCATCATTGGAGGAAGTCGGGGAAGGAAGTCAAGGCAGGAACCTGAAGCAGAAATCATGGAAGATCATTCCTTGCTGGCTCTTACTGGTTTGCTCTCTGGATAATGCTTAGGTACGTTTCTTGCACAACCCAGGACTACCTTCCTAAGGATGGTACCACCCACAATAAGATGGGCCCACTTGTATGAATGAATAAGACAATCCCTCCTGTGCATGCCCACAGACTAACTTGACATAGATACTTAATTGATTAACACTAATTTTCAGTGTGATTCCAGGCAGTGCTACATTATGAGTTATGGCAGTCAGTGACTACTCAGACACATAGTCTTTCTTCTGCATGGACCTTGGTTCTCTAGTTCTGTTCAATATCACACTAATTATCTGATGATTTGATAACTGTTAAGGAAGTTGAAGAAGTGACAGATGGCACACATATAAAAATAAGCAGGATATGAAATACAGATTAATTAATATCCAAGTGCTGAATAACCTCTTTTCTTAAACATTAGTGAAACAGGTGTCACAGTAAGATCAGTGAAAATGTGAACCTAACAAAGACAACGGCAAGACCATCAAAAGAAATCACACTCATCATTTTTGTATTAATATCACTGAACTGAAAAAATTTTAAAAAGCATTCTAAGCCCTCTTCTAATGAATAACAACAAACATCAAGTTCCCCAACAGGAGCTCCTCATCATCTAAAATTATTCCTCTAAAGTTAAGGACTCATTACCAGCATAATAGGGGAAGCTCTTTCCTCATACTTATTTGGGGAGAACAAAGGGGTTCATATATCAACTCAAGTTCATGGTTATAGCAGAGGAAAGCAGAACATGGAGAATCTACCAAAGGATGATATGATTTCCAAGTCAGGTGTCAGGGTCTTCAGGAGATCTGAAAACTTTCTGGCAACAATGAGCTCTTTTTCTTCAGA